GACCGGAGATGGCGATCGTGGGGGGTGGGAGGCGATGTGAAGGAATGCTGTGTAGAGAGGGCAAATCTGGAAAAGTTTAGATCTGAATGGTTGAGTGAAGGGTTTGACACAAAATGGTTAAGAGGTATATGTAACCATTAAGAGGTTTCATATTTTGTGCCAAACACTCCAAACCTCTGACCGATTAAGAGGCTCCCTCTTAATGTCACCATTAAGAGGGAAACAAACAGCCCCTTAGAAACTAGATTTTGAGGACGAAACCATTTTTAAGGTTGGGATAATTTTAACACCCGTAATTACGTTGTTGGTATTAAAATTTAATGGTCGGAAAACGGCCAGGGAAAAGGTCGATTCGTATATCATTACTATTTGTTTAGATCGATTGGTTAGATCTGATGACCTACAAACATCAGATGACAAATATTCAAAAATAAATATCTTAAACTCGATCGAGTTCAACCGAACTTGAGTTGGATAAAAATTCTTCTTAGTCTTTGAGACGAAGCTTAATAACTTTTTTATTAGTCGAGCTTAATCTGATCCAGTTAAAACCGTATTTTCACTCTTAAAACTAATAACAATTATTAAAATCATTGAAACAGATCCGACCATGTATTAATGGTGTGGACTAGTTCCGGGTCGATCCTAAATGGGATTTCAAATAAGTTGTAGATTGTGGGGTTCGAAAATTGGGATTGAATGAAGATAGCCAAAGGGTCGCAATCATATATTATTGCGTGTATATATATATATATAGGTGATTTATTATGCAACTTTTTATATTTATACAACCAATACAACTCAATCTTAACCGTCTATTTAATTTGATGAATATGTGATTTCATAAAAGTTTTGATTGTTTCATAATATAAAGTATTGATCATAATTAATGAATTCTAGTAATCTTCCATAAATATTCAAATCATAATAAATAAACTCTCATCATTTTTATAATTTTATTAATTAATTAGATTATATTGATTGTACAAATTAACAAGGTTAGA